TCAATTTCTAAACGAACGTTTCCATTCCGTGCGAAAAAAAAACCGTCTCAAAATGGCAACCCCCCCTCCAGCCGCGGCGCCGGGAAAAGATCGCGTGGCGAAATCAATCGAAATCCAGGAAATCTCCTTCGGATCGGACAGAACTTTAAGAGAAACTTGCACTTTCCCTTCGGAACTCGAGCGAGCCGAAGATTAGCATCGCGGCTAAGTTTCTAAGCCTCGGGTTAGGTTAATGGCAGCACTCCCGATCACCCCTTCCCCGGCGTGATTCACGGTTTTTCGGGCCGGTGTTCCGCGAGTTAGCGCGCGGTAAACCGAATAAAATCTGGCAGCGAGAAGTCGGCGGGTCCGAGGGTTACGCGAGACCAACAACCTGTTCGCCGAACGATCGTGGCTTTCGGGGGCGCACGTTACTCACCGGACGAAGAAGTGTGGCCACGCCGATCAGCAACAAACTCCTTTGGCAGCGAGCAACGGTCTTCGAGCGGAGCGGCCCAGGGGCGGACGAGAAATCATCCCGGGCCCCGGAGCCGGGTGCCCGAGCCGCGTGCACGGAATTCGATCGACGTGGAAAAATAACCGAGGACGAAATAAACCGACGGCAGCATCCTCTCGACGCCGGCCACCGGCGTCGCCGCCGCCACCACCGCCGCTTTTATAATCAATATTAGTTGCGCTAGGATCCGCGTAGCGTCGCCGTTGGCCCACCGGAAGGAGCTACGTTATCCTCCAATACCCTCGAGTCGAATTTACGAAAGAAAGAAAAAGAGAAAGAAAACGGAGACGAAAAGCGATTAAGAAATGTCGCGGAAACGCGGTTTCTCCGGGGCGAGAAAAATCGCCGTTGAGAATCGATTTGGAAACGCACCTCCAGAATGGTCGGCGGCGTCGATCCGCATCCCGAGGTCCCTCCTTCAGCCCGATACGGCCGCGCCGGGTCATCTTTGACCCTTTCGGATCATCTTATCACTGAGCCGGCGTTTCCACGCATTTTTGCGAAGCACACCGGGCCGGAATGGTCGAGGCAACCGCGAGGGGGAACACGGGGGTGGTTTTTCGAAGGATAGAGGGGCGTGGGTTTCGGGGTGTTTTTAACGGGAGACCGGCGTGCAGGGCCGGATGGTTTTTACGGCGGATGGATAGAGGCGCGACGAAGGAGTCGTTGCGGGCCACGCGATTTTTTTCCACGGGAAACCGGCGCCAGGGTGTGGCGAGGGAGAGAGCACCGTTTTAAAAGATTGGCACACACGCGACTCGCTTCGACCGGCGTCCACCGACCGCGAGGGCGCCCACGGGCGTCCTAGAGCGCCACGACGACGCCGGCTAGCTTTGGTGAATGCAACTGCCGCGCTGAGGCGCTATCGGCGCCTATGCACCGTTCAAATTGCAGTCCAGACTAGTTTGCATTCGAGGGACGCTGATCGGATTGCATATTCCATCAAACGGTGGGAATTCGCTCGGTTCCGCATGCGAAACCGATGACGACAAAATTTCTTCGTTGTATGGATAACAACGTGTGTTCTCGCAGCTCCAATTTCAGCCGTCGTACGTTTAAAAAATCCTGCGGGAACGTACTTCAAAATCGATTTCAAGGGACCCCTTAATATGTCCAATCATTTCGGTCCCAGCTTACGATTCGGAGTTCTCGATTTTTTTCCACGGGTTTTTGGAATTTTCGTGGAACTAAAATTAGGCTATTATAAAGTAGGATCTTTCAGCTTTTATTGGAAATCAATGGAATTAAACAATTCCTTCGGGAATACAGGTTTAAGTCCATTTGAAGTTACCTGTCAAAATCGAGACATCATTCTCCGAGACGGCGGCTGGGATATTTCGAATTTTCGAAATGATTTCGCTATTCTTTGTTAATCTAAACTATCTTATCTTAAAGTAGACACTTTTAGCTTCGATTTAAGCTAAGTTGCATGCAAAATATTCTTCGAGGGTACAACTTAAAATTTATTCGAACTTTCCCTTTAAAATCGAAATGATCTCTGTTGGGTAAATGGTTGGGTTTTTTCGATTTTTCGAGATGATCTTGCAAATATTTGTTAACTTATTCTATACTATATTAAAGCCGATATTTCCAACTTTAATTTGAGCTATGTTATGTTAAAAACGTCTGAAGAGAATTCAACTTAAAGTTGACTTGAAGTCATGCTTTAAAGTCGAGTCATTTCTCCTCGTATCAGTGATCAAGATTTTTCCATTTTTTAAAATGACTTCGTCGTTATTTTTTAATCTAGGGTATCATATCTTAAAATAGACACTTTATGCTTTAGTTTAAGCTAAGAAACATGAAAAAACTCCCACGTGAATGTAACTGAAAATCGATTTGAACTTCCCTTTCTAAATCGAGTGATTTCTTCCTGCTTGGAGGTCGGGATTCTGAAAAATTCCAACATGCCATTATGGAATCGTTTTTAACAAAAATTACCCTATCTTAAAAAGGACTCTTCTGGCTTCAATTTAAGCCCTCAGAAGTTCCAAAGTTCCTACGCGAAAACATTCTAATCACAGCGCAAAGTAACTCGTTAAAATCGCACTATTCTCCACCAAATTATCCATCCAATCTTATCCACTTTTCAAAATGATTTCGAAAACCTTCTCGAACCAAAATAGACCTATCGGAAAGTGCATTTCTCCAGCTTTAATTTCAGCTATCGATACTTAAGAAACTTCAACGGAAGAGAACGTTACCATCGAAGTAAATAGACGTCTCAAAATCTAAAAATTTCGAGCCAAACGGAGAAATGATTTTGACGATTAATTTCGTCGCAGAGCAAACGAAACGTGTCGGATGCGAATTTTAAATTTTAGCGGACGTTGTTCCGCCTCGATAGATGGCAGCAGCTTGGGGTTCACGTGAAACACACGTGGCAATCGGCATCGCCGCGCCATCTTTCCGCCGATGGGGACGACGGAAACGCGGACCGACGGAGTGCATCGCTTATCCGACGAGGGATTTGCGCGAGTGGCATTCTGGTTTGTTTCTTGCGGCGAGAGATAGCGAGGTCTGTTCTGTGTGCTCTGACTTCCGGCGACGGGGTTGTTTGAAGATGGACTTCCTTCCTGTTGGTGGAGTTCCAGAAGTGTTTGTCAATGTTTGCATGCACGTCAAGTCCGTAGCTTACGACAGTGATTTATCGGCCCCGGGCCGCCGCGTCTCGAACGGCGAAACTACCGTTGATATTCCATTTTCCCCGGCGATTTATTTGTTATTAATTTTCAGCAAGCGATTAATGAAAATTCGATAAACTCTTTGCTCGTTCAAAATCCGTGTGCACGCACCCAGCGGCCCAGGAATATTCCAGGCGAATTCGAGCCCCGATTGAACGGTCGCAGAATCCACTTTTCGGAATTAAGGGCGTTCGATTCGATTATTGGATCACGCACGCATAAATGGGAATACGATCGCTTCGCCGAGACATTCGGAAATTTCCGAATCGTCGCCAGCCAGGGGCTCCGAGGGCTTAAACCATTCGGCGAAAATTCAACGGGAACGCCGCCGGACCAATTTGCGAAATTTTACAGCGCGGACAAAACATTGTCAATGTGAGAACGTCAACTTCGAAACGCACCGTACATGAAATCCTCGGTGTACTCCGTCCTTAGTGCACTTCTAGTGCACGGGCCGTAAGTGCTCTTCTGAACAACGCCATTTAGCTCGGCGCTTGGTCGTCGGACTGCTAATCGTGCGGTCCATGTTCAAGTTCCGCCCTTAGCGAGATTTTCGTTCTCTACGTTTTTTTTCTCCCGCTTCGACCGAGAAGTAAATAATCCTCCGGTGCGAGAACGCGTATATCGCAGTGTTTCTTGAATTTAAATATAAACAATTCACCCCCCAAAAGTTTTCCTACGACATTATAATAATTAATTATTAATCGCAATAATTAACTAATCGCATTATAATGATTAAACTGCGAATCTTAATAATTAAACAGCGAAATAAAAATCGTCTATCTAAATTTTTTAAGACATACAGGCGCCTAAACACCAGTTTTTTCCATTCAATAATCATTCTCGTAGCATTTTTAATTGTTCCTAGGTTTCCGTTAATATTTTTACGGTTTTATAAACTATCATTTCTCATTTTTCTCCATAAACGCATGAAATCCGACGTCCACTAACAATTTAATACCAGCAGGATCGCGCGAAGCCAGCTGAGAAAATCCCACCCCGCCTGGACACTCCTGGAACAATTTCCAAGAAAAATCCCTAGACGGCCGCGCGTCCGAAAATGCGACAGAGAACGCTGGAACGCCGCTGAATAAACGATCGCACGCTAATAATTCAGTAGCAGCAGGATTCCGCGCAACTAGGCGGCAAAGTTCCCGCCCCAAAATTTCACCCCCACCCCGAGGCGTCCGATAAAACAGCCGGGAGAAAAATCGCTGGTTATCGTCGCGCCTCGAGCGCGGCGTAAAAACGCTGGAATGCCGCCGAATAAATTGATCACACCCCCCGAAAAAAAGAGTTGGCCGTAGGGATGGGGTGTGGGGAGGGGGGATAGTATCGACAGGGAATCACTGAGCAAAAGTATCTATCGGCGTGGCCGAGGGGTTCGACCTGCGGAAGGGTTGAAAGGGTCGAACGCGGGGGTGCAGAGAGGGGGGACGGTTATATCGTATCGCTTTCGCACATCGAAGGGTCGGCATCGATGGGTCGGAGGGAACAGAGGGCGGGCGGGAGGGAGCTGGCAGTGTTTGAAATTCGAAACGAGGAAACCTGACAGTGGCCACGCCGATTCCGGGGGGGTTAAGTTAAGCCTGTAACATCGAGCAGCGTGAGGAAAACGCCGGGGTGGCCGAGTCCACCGAGCGACAGAGAGAGAGGGGGGGAGAGAGAGAGAGAGAGAGGAGAGTCGCGAATCGCACTGCGAATCGATCCGAGGGAGAGAACCAGCGAGAGAAGGGTCGTCGGGGAGGGGCGGAGGGGGCGCGTCAGAGGGGATCATCGACGAAAGTGTTCTCGAATGGAATGAATCTCGTGAGACTCACCGATGTCGTTGGACTGTCGACCCTTGCCATCCGAGTTCCACTCCTCTTCTGTAACAAGAAAAAGGAGAAACGGGTCCATTAGCAGGTGGAACGAGAGGGGACGCCGTCGGACGCGGAAACCGGAGGAGCATCGGCGATCCCGAGCAGAATTCGCGGGCCCCGTTTCCGCGTCCCTGTCCTACTCGTGTCAATCGAGTCGAAGCTGCGAGCCTAGAAGAACGAGAGAGAACCTGGCAGCAGCGTTTACGGGGAAACGAGCGGACTGTTCTCGAGGAAGCTAGGCTGGCCAGGAGCCTCGAAAGAGCCGAGCCTCCGTGCGGAACGGAGGCTTTTCTACCACGCCTGGAAGATCGGGGGTCAAGCCTACGGCTACGAAGGGCGGCTAAGGTCTAGCTAAAGGACAGCAAGGTTCGCCTACGTTTACCTATGCGTCTCGCGGCCGCGCTTCTACGCGACCTCCTTCCGTACCGTCCTACAACAGAAAAGATCCTCTTAATGGTCCGGCAGATGGGACCAGAGGGGGAGGCAGCGAGGCGAGGCTCCGTTCGAAGAAGTCTTAACGACCTTGGAATCAGCCGCTCTCCGAATAATTCCGCGGAAAGACGGCCCCGCTCCGGCTAGTCAAAGGGAAGACGCAACGGCAATCGTGCTGCATATTTCAGCCGGCGAATTCCCGGTCGCACGGGGCCCGTCCACTTCCGCATTCTCAGCCGCGCGGGAGTTATGAATATAAATTCGCGACCCGTTTCTCTCCGACGAGCACGCGCGCACGCTCCGTCGCCGATCGTAACGATTCAATGAAGAGCGCAAAAAAAAAAATATAGATATATGTATATAGCCCCGGCCCTACGGCGACATTTCCATGACAAACATCTCGCGGCGCGGAACACCCTCTGATAAGCAAGAGCCCCGGCGAGGTCCGGCCGCATCTACAAGTCAAAAGGCGGCGGTGTTTGCGCGAACTGCGCCGCCCGAGGCTGCAGCCGCGGGGCCGCTCTGCTTCAGCGGACGTCCAATCCCGGGGACGTAACCTTGTTTAGGGTGCGCGTCGCGACGCCCGGACCGGCCCACCTCGTTCTTTATACGACTGTCATGCAAACCAGATACTCGGCGGACGATTTCTCGGATGCGACGACGCCGGGCTGAAAGAGGCGACGCGCCGTGCGCCGGGAGGCATCCGAAAGCGGTTCACAGTCTCGCTTCACGAGCGATCCCGGAATTAGAAAAAGGACTGTGCGATTCGTTGAACATTTGGGTCGTGATAATTATTTTTATTTTTATTAATCATCAACACACACGCACAGGGATACGCGAGAAGTTCATCTTAAAATCACTGGTATCGAGCAAAATATACGATTATGAAAACCAGGAATTAATTTTTAATTCGTTTCTAAATTGTTCTCAATATGTTCTCGACTAGTCATTAATTAATCGCTTACTGGTAGTGAGCAAAATACACAATTAAGAAACCCAGAGTTTAAATTTTAATTCGTTTCTAAATTGTTCTCAATATATTCTCAATTAGTCATTAATTAGTTTCCATTAGTTGTAATTCAGTTCTAAATCAGTTCTTAATTGGTGGTGCATCGTTTCTCAATATATATTTAATAATCATATTCTACAACCACATCTTTATCTATAAATATATTTCAAAAATTAATTTCAGTATTTTTCCTTAAGTCTCTTAATAAAACCCCATCGTAAATAATTAAAAAATCGAGCGTAAATGTGTTCGACTTCGATCAGCAAATATTTTCGTCCGCTTTCGAATGCATCCCTTCCCGCACCATTCCCTTTCCCTAACGTTCGAGCCTCAAAGACGAAATGGAACCTCGATCGTATAAACACGAGTTTTCTTTATCTCGGAATGTTGGAAGCAGTTTGCGGAGAACAAACTGAACGTGGTAATTCGCAGAATGAAATCTGTGAACCGAGATAGATGATAGCGGTCTGATTGGCTGTTCGAGTGGTCCGTTTGATTACCTGAAACGTCGGAATCGGATCCAGGTGTGGGGCTAGCGTCCACACTGTGCCGCGACCCCTGGCAACACTCGCTGCACTTGCTGCACATCGTGTCCGATTCGTACAGGACCGGTCGACCGGTCTCGAGAACCCACCACCACCACCACGCCGGCTCGCTGCCGATCGGGGATCGTCGGTCACGGTGGTGCACGATGATGTCCGACGCGCACTGCCGCTCCGAACAATCGATCATCGACGAATCCGCGACACACTCGCACAATCACTGTCTACGATCGTCTCGAACGATTCTTCGCGGTCGCTGGTCACAAACTATGGGGAGGCGGTCGTTTAACGGGGGACGAATCGGTGGAACGGTGGGAGGAGCTTGGGCCCCGCCCCTTTCTTCTAACTCGCGGCTCAATTTTTGGGAATCGTGGGCCATTCGTTTTGAGGAACTGTTTTATACGCACTGTGAAATCAGTTCTTGACAAAATGGTGTTCGAAATTGGTGTGGGACGTGTCTCTAGGCCACGCCCCTTTCGTTTAAATCGCGGTTTGTTTTTGAGGAATTGCGGGCCGTTCACTGGGCATATTTTTTATACGCACTGTGAGATCAGTTCTTAGAAAACGGTGTTGGAAATTGATGAGGGGCGTGTCTTTATGCCACGCCCCTTTCTTTTAAATCGCTGTTTATTTTTGAGGAATTGCGGTCCGTTCACTGGTCATATGTCTTATGCGCACTGTGAAATCAGTTTTTAGAAAACTGTGTTAAAAATTGGTGAAGGGCGTGTCCTCGGGCCCCACCCTTTTCTTCTAAATCGCGGTTTATTTTTTCGGAATGTTCGCTTCCGTTCGCTGAGCATATGTTTTATACGCATTGTGAGATCAGCTCTTGAAAAAAATTGTTAGAAATTGGTGAAGGGCGTGTCCTTAGGCCCAGCCCCTTTCTTCCATCTCGGGGTTCGCTTTTGGGAAATTATGGGCAGCTCGCTGGGCAACTATTTCATACACTGTGCAAGCTCTGTTCTTAAAGAACGGCGTTGAAAGTTGGGAAGGGGCGTGTCGACAGGCCCGGCCCCTTTTCAAACTTAACCTTGGTTTCCACTTTGAGGAACCGTGGGCGAACTATAAAACGATTAAATATTGCAACAATTGCTTGGAAACCACCAACGTTGCACGTTGTCCCGCGTAATTCTATTTGCCGAAAGCCGAACAATCCCGGCCGGGAACAACGTTTTCCACTGTTTAAGTTTTCATTTATCATTACCGCGGAACCGTGCCAATCTACGGTGTACAGGCGACAATGTACAGGTGTCCGGCGCACTTGAAGCCCGTCGGTTCGCGAAATTAATTGGCTGGCCCGATCCCGTGCGCCTGCCGAACAATACCAAAAGTAGACGAGCGTTCGCGCGCGCGAGAGAGAGAGAGAGAGAGGGAAAGAGGAAGGGGGAGAGCGGGGAGGCGTGTCCTGCCCGCGGCCCGCCCATTCTCGGTCTCGTTAGCCCCGCGGAGAGAGAGACAAAGCCCCGAGATTCGTTTCCGATATGCCGGAACCGGGAAATACATTTTCCAGTTGACCGTAAGCATTAAAAACGACCGACCGAGTCACTCGTCCCGATGCAATCGGGTCGAGTTAATTAATACGAAGTGACCGGGCGAAGTGGGAGGCGGTTTCAGCGGGCCGGTGAAATCCGAGTTAATCGCGGGGGGGAGGGGTCCACGGTAAAGGAAATTTCCGAGAGCCCGTGTTCCCGTGCAAGCGGAACAGAATGGAATCGGGAGCAGATGGGCTGTTACGGGCCCTGTAATACGATATGTCGCGGAATTAATCCCCCCCACCCCACCTCTTTTCCGCCGCGATGCAGTGCGCGCTATAATTGCAACGTTTTCTTTGTCTTCGGCGAATCCGCTCGGCAGATTGCCTTTCCGGAGGTCGTATTAGGTTTGCCGGTGGTTCAGCAGCTAATTTAAAGACGTCTCCGCCGCTCTGATTAACAGGATCGTTTCCTGGACAGCTAATTTGCTTGTCGTTTCGAAAGCGCTTCAATTTTCGAACTGGCTGCTTTGTTTGGAAACTGTGCCAGCCTTTGCTCGACGGTAGAAAAATTGATTCACGGTGAATTCGAGGTGGACATTTTTGCGAAGCTATTTTCGGGGCAACGTGGCCGAGGAACCAAGGGTTTGGTCATTTTCGAGCACTTCGCTCTCTCTCTCTCTCTCTCTCTCTCTCTCTCTCTGTCTCTCTCTCTCTCTCTCTCTCTCTCTCTCTCTATCTCNCGTGTCGACAGGCCCGGCCCCTTTTCAAACTTAACCTTGGTTTCCACTTTGAGGAACCGTGGGCGAACTATAAAACGATTAAATATTGCAACAATTGCTTGGAAACCACCAACGTTGCACGTTGTCCCGCGTAATTCTATTTGCCGAAAGCCGAACAATCCCGGCCGGGAACAACGTTTTCCACTGTTTAAGTTTTCATTTATCATTACCGCGGAACCGTGCCAATCTACGGTGTACAGGCGACAATGTACAGGTGTCCGGCGCACTTGAAGCCCGTCGGTTCGCGAAATTAATTGGCTGGCCCGATCCCGTGCGCCTGCCGAACAATACCAAAAGTAGACGAGCGTTCGCGCGCGCGAGAGAGAGAGAGAGAGAGGGAAAGAGGAAGGGGGAGAGCGGGGAGGCGTGTCCTGCCCGCGGCCCGCCCATTCTCGGTCTCGTTAGCCCCGCGGAGAGAGAGACAAAGCCCCGAGATTCGTTTCCGATATGCCGGAACCGGGAAATACATTTTCCAGTTGACCGTAAGCATTAAAAACGACCGACCGAGTCACTCGTCCCGATGCAATCGGGTCGAGTTAATTAATACGAAGTGACCGGGCGAAGTGGGAGGCGGTTTCAGCGGGCCGGTGAAATCCGAGTTAATCGCGGGGGGGAGGGGTCCACGGTAAAGGAAATTTCCGAGAGCCCGTGTTCCCGTGCAAGCGGAACAGAATGGAATCGGGAGCAGATGGGCTGTTACGGGCCCTGTAATACGATATGTCGCGGAATTAATCCCCCCCACCCCACCTCTTTTCCGCCGCGATGCAGTG